GGCAAAGAGGAAGAGAGAGAGAGCCGAGAGGGGGAGAGTTTGGGAGAGAGAAGGAAAGAGAGTTTTTTTAGGAGAGGAAAACTTGATTGTATTATGATAGTTTAAGGGAAGGAGACCTCCTCCTTAAATAATGTTGAGTTCCCCAATCCTACTAGAACTAAGTTAACTACCCTGTCGGTTCAAAAAAGGCGTCAAGGGAAAGAACCGAAAAGAAAACCCTTGAAGGAACTTATAATTCGTCCTCCTAAAGAAAAGCTAAGTACATAAATGAATTAACCATATTAAAATAAAATTAAACATAGTCTTGATATCTGCGTGGCGGACCCACGCTCCTCTTTGAACGGCGCGTTGCAATTGTTCCTTCGTCGTGTGTTACCGGGGCCGTGTCCGTATCAACTTATTATGAAACACATTGAAATGCTACACACGGAGTACCTTTGGAATATGTTTTAGAGTAATGATAGAGTCACAAACAAATACTCCCTCCGTCTCAGAGTATTTGTCCACTTTCATTTTTACACACCATCCAATACACTTCTTTAATCCGTTTTATCTTGTAATTTGTATATTAAAAAATTATAGAAATTATATATTAATAATCTATATGTTAAGACAAATCAATCAAGATCACACATGACTATATTTAAGCTTACACTTTGAGAGAATTTGATGAGTCAAAGTGCTTAGATGAACAGTTCCAAAAGTCAAAAGTGGACGAATATAGCAGGACAGAGGTAGTAGTTCACAAAATTCACAAACTTGCTTTTTTAATACTTTTCTAGAAATAATATGCACTCAAATAATAAAAGATATTTTAATTTAAAATCCAGAAACGACAAGTTTGTGAAGTTTGTAAACTACTCCCAACGTCCTAAATTATAATGTCTGTTCATTATTCACATGATTAAATTTCATTCACTTTTTTTTCTATATTTTCATTAAAATTTTGATAAAATAAAGTACTATTGTCACTACTAGTTTTGTAGATCTTTTGATGTATTATTTTAATATGTAATTTTTATTTTTTAAATCTATACCATTTGTCATATAAAATAATTTGAAAATTATTTCAGTCAAATACTGTAAACTGAAACGAGTATTATAAATTGAGATGAAGGTAGTATATGTTTCTGACTCTAGTATTAAAATTAAAGGCTACTGCCTCTTGCTTTATTAAGCCATTGCTTCTTTGTCATAAGAGGGGAGGAATAAAATCCTTCCAAAAAAAGGGAAAAATAAAAGAAGAGAGAGAATAAAATCGCCTAATCCCATTCCTTGATCACAATGGGCCCCGAACAGTATTGAGTGGGCCGACAGTGTCTGGGCTTGGGACCCTTTGCCGAGAAAAATATTGGGAGAACCAGTAGAATGATGATGTGGACATTCCTTTTCATGGGTTGGTGTCGTTGGAGTGGATATTTGGGCCCACCATTAAAGCCCATTTGCGCATGCTAATTGACATCCCCACCCCAACCCATTTATTCTGTACTCTAATGCCCTCTTACAACGTCAAGCAAGCTTTTGCAAACGGAGTGTTTTTTAAAAAAAGAATTCTCTTGAATAAGGGTGAAAATTATGAAAACCGAGTAGTGTCTGGAAAAAGCTTTTATAATGGTTTTGGATAAAATTTGAATGATGTAGATTAATTCAGAAAATGCTAACACTAAAATTTATTATTTACTTTTTAAAATGCTAACGTTGATGTAAAAAAGGGCCTAAATTTTTAAGACCAAAATGAGAATATAATAACACTGTGCTGTAAGATTACGCATTTGCAATGTGATGAAAAAGCACTTGTAATGCAAAAACATGCTGTGTGTGAGTGTGTAACAATGACAGTGCGAACTCTTATTTTGATCTTAAAAGACGTAGGACTCATATTTTGATGTTTTTTTATAGTTTTTTACTATTATCTAGAGAGATATCCCTTTCTTAAAGGGTAATTTCCATAAGTATTTCTTATTTGTAGGTGATTTTCCATATATAGTCTCAAATTCTAAGATATTGCATAAATAGTTCTCAATTTTTGAAAAAAAAACATTTCATAAATACGGAGTAGTTTTTTACTAGAAGAAAAAAATTTGAGAAGTTTTTGTCGTGAAAGGCCCACTGTCTATTGTTTATGTGAAACTTTCAAAAAAAGGCCCAATATAGCTAGGTGAAAGTTAAGTTGTTAAGGGAATATGGGCCTAAGGCCGGTGATATAGGCAACCACCTCAACAACTGAAAATAACATCAAAGCTGCCATATTTTGGTGCATGTCTCCTTCAACTATTTAATGTGTTTGTACATTTAGTTTGCAAATGTGGTGTGCACACAACATTTTTTTATTTACTTCCTCTCTTAAATTTGAGAGTTTGATTGATACTATATTGTAATAAGGTTTTTTCTATAGATCATTTCTTGATTTGTGCATGTCATCCTTGCACAAGGGTCATGCTAGTCTTTACTGTATGGTTCTAATTTTATCGTATGTCCCCAAAGAGACTGTGAACTTGTGATAAAGTTAATTGATTTAAAACAGAAAACCCTCAAAAAGAGTTCCCCATTTCAATATATTTTGGTTCCACGAGATCTAAATTAAATGAAAATTGTGAATTTTTTCAGCATTCAATGAGATTTGAATATAAAATATGTCAAACAAGTAAAATATTCTGTTGTGTCAGTGTATTCGTCTAATTTGACTTTTGCGAGTCGAATTGGATAAATTTTGAAACTCAATTATATAAAAATTATAATATATGTATATTAGTATAAAAATGATTTCAACAGGATGAAGTCGCGCTATGTAATATTGTGTATAAGATTGTGGCTAAGATGATAGCCAACAGGATGAAACCTTTGCTACAAGATATCATATCTGAATCTCAATCTACGTTCTTGTTAGGTAGACTTATCTCGGATAATATTCTTCTAGAAGCAGAGTTGGGTCACTTCTTGCATAGAAGGTCTGGGCGAGTGGGTTGGGAAGGTCTCAAGCTTGACATGGCTAAAGCTTATGATAGGATGAAGTGTTCATTCCTTTTTACTATGTTAAATCGTCTTGGCTTTGATGAGAGGTGGACCCAACTAATCAAAAATTGCCTCTTATACCGAGTTCTCTTGAATGGATCTCTTTTGATACAATCATTCCGTTAATGAGACTTTGACAAGGATATCCTTCAAGCCCTTATTTGTTTATTTTAAGAGCAGGACTTTCTATGTTTTTTCAGGACATGGAGCGATGAGGTCTGCTGCATGGGATTCGGGTGGTGAGAGGTGCACCTTCTATCTCCCACTTGTTATTTGATGATGATAGTCTTTTGTTTAAGAGGGCTACTATGAAGGAGGCTACAACAATCAAATCATGTCTTCAAGAGTATGAGAGTGTTTCAGGGTAGGTTGTCAACTTTGATAAATTTAGTATATGCTTTAGTCTCAACACGCCAATAGAAACAAGTGACTATCTTGTAAATTTCTTTGGAGTCAATCAGGTTGCTAATTTTGGGAAGTATTTAGGGCTCCCCTCTTTCTTGGGAAGGGATAACATAAATGTTTTCTCTAATATTTATGACAAAATTCAGCATAGAATTGGGGGCTGGAGCAATAAGATGCTTTCAAAGGTAGGAAAAGAGATTCTTTTAAAGACTGTGGCTTAGGCTGTGCCACAGTATCCAATGAGTGTGTTTCTTTTTCTGAAATTCTTTTGTCAAAATATTGAGAAATTGATGAACTTATTTTTGTGGCAGGGTAAGGGTCATGACTCTTCTAGAATTCATTGGATGTCATGGACGCGTCTCTCTACCCCTAAGAAATTTGGGGGTTTGGGCTTTTGACAAATTCGTGATTTCAATATTGCAATGCTTGGTAAAGAGGGTTGGAGATTTCTTACTAAACGAAAGTCACTGGTTTCCTGAGTTTTTAAAGCCAGGTACTTTCTTAAATCTACTTTTTTGGAGGCTAAATTGGGTTCCACCCTTAGTGTTCAAAATGTGAACTTTAAACCACATCTTATTTTGGTGCTTTGATTGATGATTATCGATTATTGGTGGCCAATTTTTGATCTGTCACCTTTTCTTTTATTAAATGATGTAATAATGTTATTGTTCATACGCTTGCGAGGAGGTTTGAGTCCTATCATGCCATAAAAAGAATAAAATAAAAATGATTTCTTTATATTTAACTTGTTTAGATTAAATTTTGTTTTATTGTAATAATATGGAACATAAATTGAGAGTAATTAATTACTAAATTTAAAAATATTAATTGTCATTAGTTGTATTCCAAAATTTAAAAGGTGTACACTATTTAGACTATATACATTGGTCCTCAATTTTTGAAAACTATTCCATAATCGGTCTTCCAAGGCTATTTATGGAAAAAATATTTTGTCATATTTCGTCTAAAAGACTACTTATGAAATAGTTGAAAACCATTTATGTAATTTTTTTTATAATTGTGGACTAAATATAAAAAATTACTAGTAATTAAAAAACTATTTATAGAATTTACACTTATTTTTATCTAAAAGAGTTTCATACGCAATTCATAAAATGATCTTCGTCTAGTGAAATTTGCAGTGAATAGGACTAAATAGGGCTTAATAATGATTAGTAAGAAGAATAATGTCTAAGTAGTACTGGACATTTAGTTGAATAATGACTAATAGATAATGACCAATAGTCCTACATTGAGAAATAAAAACATATGATCCTATATTGAGAAAGTCATTATGTTTTAGTCATATTTATCGTCTATTCACATATTTTCCAACTTTAATTAAAAATCAATTTTGATGAATGAGTGTAATAAAACAACAAATTATTTACAACCTAAAAAGTAAAAACAGCAACATTTCTCAACATGAAACTCTAGCTTAATGTCACATATATATTTATATATTTATATCCTTGATGAAACATAACCTCATCATACCAACACAGAACAAAAACTTGTAAGTAGCTAGCATATGAAACTAAAAAGTGACCTGCTTTTTTTTTAACAGCAGAGAATCACTTGTACTTAGCCACCAACATACATGAACATAAGGCAGGACAAACAAGTCCTAAAAAAAAGAACAAAACAGATGATGAAGATCAGATTTGAAGCCGTTCCAAACACTTCATAGCTATCGATTCGTCGACCTCCACGGTTTCGGTTGCCTTTGTAGTTTCCTCCTTGTTCTCGGGCGATGAAACGACCGCAATTTCTTTCGGGGCCCGCGGAGCAGCGAAAACCGGAACGGCCTGCCTGATGCAGACAGGTGGCGCGACCCGAACAGGTGGGGCCCGCGGCGGCGCCGAGAAAACCGGAACCGAAGTTCTCATGGTGACGGGAGGAGCAATGGCACTGCAATGGGGTCTGGGATGAACGCTGGGAGATCTGTATTGGGGACGAGCGGTTCTCTGGGAGATTAGAGGAAGGATTTTGGAGGTGGACGACGACGGGGGACACCGTGGGCCCCACGGGGTCGGGAAGTTCTTCCGGAAGGGCACGGGACGGGCCCCGGCGTGGGACATTTCTATCTTCTCCTTCAAACAATAGGCCTGCAATGCCCTTGCGATCCTTATCTGCTCCTGCTCCTCCGTGTTCTCCGCCTCAGACGTCGAATTTGCATCTTGTTTTGCCACTGTTTTTGGGAAAGGAGGAAAATGTTAGAATATAAATAACTGTTCCTGGGCCACAACCACAAGCTTGAGCTTTTGGTTGAGTTGGTTCCTTGACAGAAAAAGAACTCTTAAGATCTCTATATTAGAGCCTAGGTCTCACAGAAACATTCTTAACGTTTAGCTTTAGCGTTTTAAAAAGGCTATCTGTTTTATAGGGTGGGGGTGGGGGTGGGGGGGGGACTCACATTGTTTCAGAGAAGACCATGCCGCCAAGGCGGCATTCTTCTCGGCTTGTTTCTTGGTTTTCGCGGGCTCTCCGGTGAAGGTGATTCCGGCGAGTTCCACTGTTCCGGTAAACACCGGATGGTGTCCGACCCCCGACCTGAACGTTGCGTATTGGGGCAAAGGAGACCCAACCCTTTGTGAGATTGCCTGCAACAGGTTTTTATACACTCCGGTTTCATCCTGCATTTGTAACATCCAATCAACATATATATTATATACCCAACCATTTTGTTTTCCCCAAATCTTACACAGTCTGGGTGTCAGGACATCCCCAAGTAACCAAACGGGTGCGTTTCGGGTACGCAAAGCATCACTTGTTTGAAGAATCAGTGCAGCATAGATCATTTGCATCACTTAGACAAAAATTTTCATAAATACAATGCTATATCCATACATAACTTAACATCTGAAATGTTGTTCTATAGGTACATTTCAGATTAAGACTGAGTGCCCTAATTGATGCTTTGTTTTGTTTTGCATAATCTAAGTCTAATTAGATGACTATTCATGGGGCTTTAGGGTGTAGTTTGAAATCCAATGATATTTACCATTCCAGGGTAGTACAGAAAGGGGATATTACCAGAGTACCCCTAAATAAATGACTTTACAACAAGACAGTACAAGATGACCAAAGAACAGCTGTTAAGCAAGGGTCAATATATGACATAGTGATGGGTCTTAATAAATATGGTCTGGTCCCTTTACCAGAAGCAAACTGAAGCAGCAGTTATGGACCTCCTCAGTTTTCTTTTTCTCACTTTCCCAATTTAGACAGAGGACTTTTCAAAAAAATTCTGCTTTCTAGTGCATTTTTGAACCATATCCAACATCTAAGGGCAAGGGCAGTCTGGTCATTTCCCACACCATTAAATCCCACCACACCAGCCTCGGGGCCGGCCGGTCATTGATTCCCCGGTTTCTGACATGAGGCAGAGGACGGACTGATAGATAACTGTTAGCGGCGCACGTTAGCAACGCCAATCTCGCCGGGAAATCAAGAAACCGGTCACATTTTACCAGTTTCAAGATTGACTCAGACATCGACCAGGAGCTAAAACTTAGGTTAAAGGGAATTGAATAACGGTAAGAGGCGGCGCCCCACCGTCGATTTCGCCGGAAAATCAAGAAATCAGAGGGCACCCTCGGTTCTTTTTTTAAAAAAATTGAGTCTTTTTCCATCAATGTGCAAAAACGCAACGAATCAAAGCTCAACCGGGAGTTTAAAGGGAAGGGAATAACTGTAAGAGTATGAGTCGGCGCTGCCGGCCCATGGCACCGTCAATCTCGCCGGAAAATCAAGAAATCGGTGCCCATCCCCCGGTTCAAAACAAAAAAATCGAGTCTTTTTTCACATCAATGTGCAAACACGCAACGAATGAAAGCTCGAGGGAAGAAGGGTAAGAGAGAACTCACGAGGATTCGAGCGGCGAGGGACTGAGAGGGGCCGCCGTGGGAGAGGGAGTTGAGAGCCACCTCGGCGGCGGCGTGCTCGGCGAGGCGGAGGGTGGAGAAGTGGTGGGGGCTTTCGAAGGACTCGCCGTTGAAGTTAACGACGGCCTTGAAGCGCGGGGCATGGTCGGGACCTTCCCGAATGCAGGTGTACGACGGCAGAGTGAAGCAGCTCCTCTGCGCCAGCTCCTGTAACTGGTTCTTATACATTTCTGCACCTCGAGACCCCGAATTTTAGGTTTTCCGACGGAGATGGAGGAGGGGAAAGAAGGGATCTGTAGCCCAATTTGTAGTATTATACTCCGCCTTCTTTATGGTTTGCGAGTTGTGAAGCAGTGCCGGAGGGAGTACGGAGTACTCTGGTGGTAGCTTGGAAAGAATAAAAAGGGGAGCTCTTTTTTTGTAACTTTACGGTTTTCAGGGGTCTGGTTTGCTATTGGGAAAAAGTTGAGGGGTTTTGAGTGCCAACACAGTCTTTATTTAGAAAAAAGTTGGGGGTACATATAAAAAAGTCTATGGGATTCCTATGACATTGGAATTTCATGCTATAGAATGACCCGAAAGATGTTTCGTTCGTAAAATAGATGTTTATATCTCCCTAATCCCCGTTAAACTTCCTCACACTGCCCCGACCGAATACCTCCCCCCCTCCCAGAGTCGGTCCCGACATATGAAAAAGTATAATTAGCCCGGTGTAAAATTCATGTTTTGGGCCCTATTTAGTTTTTCAAAGTACTTACACCATAAAATTGGTGCCAAATTTAAAAATATGAGATCCTAAAAGTTTATGGGTCTTATGCGGTTGGCCAATTTGCATAACCTCCGGACGACTTATGCCCTCCACCTCTTTCAATTTCACCTCCAAGTATATTAGAGACAAACAATTAAGAGTGATTTATGAATCACACACATAATTATTTGGTAAATTTCAAAACCTTTCACAAAATACTTGAACTATCCTTTCAATAATAATCCATTTGCCCATTACTAGGTGACCAGTAGATCATTTTGGGGCAAATTGCAAAATCTAAATTTTTATTTTTTCACATTAACACCCATCTCTTCTTTTTCTTCTACTTCACTCCCATTCTTTATATTATTTTCTTTTTCAACCCATTCACCTTTCTTTTCTCTCCTTTCTTTTTCCGCTCTTTTCTTTATTTTTTATTTTTTCTTTCTTTTCTTTTTTATTATTCACTATATTTTCCATCTTTTCTTTTACTTCTTTTTTTTCTTTTGATTCTTCTTTAACTCATTATTTTTTATTCATTCTCACTTTTTATCATACCTTTCCTTTTTCTTTTAATTTTCATCATTCTTTCCTCGTTTTTTTATTTTTCTTTTTTAAAAATGTATTCATTGTTTTAATTTTCTGTTCGTCTCCGTTTGCTATTTTTTTCATTTAGTTCCTTTTTAAAATATTTATTTATTGTTTATTCCTTTTCCGCATTTTCTCATTTCTTACTTTTTTTCATGTTTCTTTTCT